GGTGCATGAAGTGACGCAGTTTGATGGTACCGTCCTTGAAGTTTTGGGCTGATTATTTTCTTGAGGGATTGTTGAGTGATGTGGAGAGTGAACCATCATGTCTGTGTCTCTTTAGGAACCATGTATAGCCTTTTTGTGCTTTTTTTTTTTTTTTTCATTTTAAATGTGTTGGTTAACTTTATTTTGCAGTTGAAGGAACAACCAGGAGAGCAAAGATTGCCTGCAATACTCGTGTGGTGCCTGAGGTGTTCCCCATGGTGATAATGAGCCAGGTGTACAAGCAGACACTGGCCAAGAGCTCGGACACTCTGGTGGGGGCTCACATAAGAATTCATCGCTGCAACGAGTCCTTCATTTATCTCCTCTCTCCTCTCCGGTGAGTTTTTGTTCTCCTGGGACACAGCTAGATGTCTTTCCAGCAAGTTTGTTCAAGTGCTGAGTTCTTGTTAGATGGACTAAGCAGTGAAAAAGTCCTGGTTTTGCTCTTTTCTGCTCACTGTGTCCTTGCTCTCTTGTTCTTTCACAGATCTGTGACCATTGAGAAGTGCCGGAACAGCACTTTTGTCCTTGGCCCTGTGCAGGCGTCTGTTCACGTCCACAGCTGTGACAATGTCAAGGTCATTGTGGTTTGCCATCGTTTGTGCCTTTCTTCCACTGCTGGCTGTACTTTTTACATTCTCACGCCTACCCAGCCTCTCATCCTCTCGGGGAACCAAGCAGTCAGCTTTGCCCCTTTCCACACCCATTATCCAATGCTTGAAGACCACATGGCTCAGGTGGGCTTGGCCACTCTGCCAAACTACTGGGACAGCCCCATGCTGGTGTGCAAGGAGAACGGCGACACAAGTGTCTTCCGCCTCCTGCCGCCCTCAGACTTCTACACCTTTGTGATTCCTTTTGAGATGGAAGGAGACACTACGGAGACGCCGGGTGGGCTTCCCCACGTGTATCAGAAGGCAGTGAGTCAGCGAGAGCAGAAGGTACAGATCTGGCAGAAAACTGTGAAGGAGGCGGGCCTGACCAAGTGAGTGCTGTATCCGAACAGGAACATGTGAGCTGCGTTAAAGCTCAGCTCAGCCATACAAACAGAAGATTCATTTGATGTGGTTCAACAAAAATGCTTTAATAATGGATTGATTTGCATGAGCCATGTCTCACATGCCATTTCTACAGCAATCTTGGGATCCTGGTCTTTGCTATTAATATAGTGAGAGGAATAATGCTCACAGTCGTAACTCTGAAGGAGGTGCTTTGTCATGATTGCATTTTCCTAGCTTGTGATACTCAAGAAAAAACATGCCTAGATACTGTTGAGGGCTGAGGTGAGGGATCCACCCTGGCAGTAAGGGTTTATGACTTATCTCACGCTGGGTACTGTCTCTCTGCTGTCTCTGTTCTGCTTCCAGTGTCGCGTGCTGCCGTGGGTGAGATCTGGGCACGTACCCTGAACAGCAGCTCAACTAATTATTGCTCTGCAGCTGATTGGTGGTCACTCTTAGCCCAACCTTTACATTGAGGTCGAAGCTTTAAAATACTGTCCCATCTGTTGCTGAGGTGAGCTAAGAATGTGCATGTGGACCATTACAGTAGATCACCTCGTGGACAGTAGCTTTTAAAGTCCTTTTTATCAGATCACATCGAATCCTCTGCCCAGCTTTTACTGTGCTAGCTACGCCTATCCTAGCCCATCTTATGTACTGATGCATGTCTGTTTGCTTTCTCAGCACCTGTTGCAGAGTTCTGAAAAAGTTCACTTTGTTTCCTTTGTCAATGTGCTTTCTTCTGCAGCCAGCCAGATCAGGCAAGGGTACAAATCTCTGCCAACTTCAGTTTAGCTGCTTTTATCTTTTTGTGAACTGTTTTGATGCAGCAACCTGAAGGACCTGGCTTCCTTTGCAAATACAGAATGGGGATAGAAACCCAGATATTCAATTGTAAAGGCTTGAAGAGATGAGAACAACTTTTGTTCCCTAAGCTGCACTTGAGCTGTATAGATTTTCTTTCTGTTCTGTGCTCAGTCAATGACTCATAACGGGCGTGTAACTGGATGCTGATAAGTAGTGATCTCGGAGGGTTTTATCCTGTGGGGAACACAGAATATGAAAACCACCTCTTGGGTCAAACTGTCCACACTTCCCATCATACCAAGCCAAGGAGTTCTAGTCGATTTGATCATTCATTGTTTTGGAGGAGCAGCCTCTGCTTCCCTTGTTCCTTTTTGAAATCCAGGTGCCTCTGTGCCGAGCGTGGAGGAGCCTACAGTTTGAAAGAGCTCTAGACTGGGAGGGAGAAAGGATTCTGGGGCAGGATTTTGCTACAGGTGGAGGGTGGCTGAGCAGTAGTGGTGGTGACAGAGGTGTAAAAACCTTCAAAACTCTCAGTCCTTGAGTCCTGAAGGGCAGCAGAGATGAAAGTTGTAACTTCAGCCCTTGTGCTAGAGTCATCCGTTGTGTCTATCAACCTCATCTAAGGTTCTTCTTCCCCCTCCAGCCATTGTTCTCCCAGGGCTGCTGCTTCTCACCCCAGGGTTTTGTGAAGGTGTTAGGCCTGTCAAAATCTTACTGTTAAAGAAATGTGAGGTAATACGGATGATGTGCTTAGATTTAACATCCTCTACAGCAGTCACAAGAGGCAAGAGCTCAGTGCTGGAGTGGCTTATTTCATAAAAGGGGGAACACTCTGCCAAGTTTAGAAGCTTGCTGAAAAGAAACTGGGCAGCTGACAGTGTAAAATGTCTCTGTCTTCTGCAGGCAGGGAAACAACTAGGGAGACAACTAGGAAGCTTAGAACAAACAGGATATCAGACTTGTAGAAAGAAAAAAGCTGCCATGCTTGAATGGGGAGGTGAAAGAGAATGTTAGAAATAAGAAGACATCTTTCAAGAAGTTGAAGTTGTCTGAATGAGGAAAGTGGGGCAAAAGAAGAATGTAAATCCTGCCAGGCTGAAAGTAAAAACCCCTAAGACAGGACCAATAAGACAGCTTGAGGAACAACTTGCAAAAGCATAAAATCCTGTTTATTCATTTTCCGAGCATATCAGACAGAAAGTCTTTCAGGGTCAGTAGCAGATCAAGGTATATAAAAAGCACTTGGAGAAGATAAAACCCTAGGAGAAGAAAGAAGTGACTGCCTTGGTGTTCACATTCACTGGGGAGGAATTTAGGTTAGTTTCTGTCCTAGAACCCTGCTTTCTGGGGAATGTCTCAAATGGAAGTGATAGTACAAAGAAGAGCCTTTAACTTGAAAAAAGGGTCTGGGTACACTGAACCTCTCTGAAACCGAGTGGCACAAAAATGAATAGGGCTGGTTTGCTGCTTTTCCCAGTACAGGATGGGATCAGCAGATCAAATTAGGAATGAGTTCAAAGCAAAAACACATAAAATCTCCACAGGGTATTGAAAACGTTCATTTTTTATGTGGGTTCTGAAAGGAATTGCATAAGCTCATAGGAAAAAAAAGTGCAGCAGGAGCTACTCTACTCATGCCACCTTTGGCTTAAGAAATTGTGGAGCTGAGCTGATCCCAGATGGCTGGGATGCTATTCTGGAGAAATACTGCCGTGAGCCTGCACTGCTCTCGGACATCTGACCAGTGCCAGAGAGCCTGAGCTTAGTGGTATACCCTGTTATTGCTGGTCTTACCAAAAACACCCCAAAAGTTATTTACCAGTACTGGGAATTATCTGAGGGGTGTTGTTTATATGCACGGTTTTTTTTTTCCTGATCTCCATCCTCTCAGATGCTGTCAGAACAGAATTCTGTGGCTTCAGTGCTTAAATGCTGGTTACTAATCTTCTTTTTCTCGCTTTTCAGACAGTTTTTAATCTGTTCTCTAAGAGTAAAGCAGAGGCCGCCCTGTGGAGCAGGGTTGCTGTGCTAGTGGGATTGGGGAGTTTGCATGATGAGTTCTGCTTTTGGGGTTCATTGTAGTCCTGTTCACTTGGTAAAAACCTCTTCCTGGTACAGGCAGTTCATGAACCAAGCCCAGCTCTTAGCTGATATATATGGAGGCTTGTTTTGGTAGTGAAGGTGAGGTTTAAAAGTGTAATATTATAAATAAATGTGACCTTTACACACTTCCCTGCTGATCTTCTTTTGGTTTCAGGGATCAGAGGAAACAGTTCCAGATGCTGGTAGAAAACAAATTCTATGAATGGCTGGTTCAGACAGGGAACCGTCAGCAGCTGGATAGCCTTGTCCCTCCTGCGGTAGGCTCCAAGCAGGCAGCAGGATAGCATTGTGTTCCTGTACAGCAAAAGGAAAGGAAGGGTGAGTAGAGGGCCTGTTTCTCTTGATTCTTTTCTATCTAGAAGAATTGTCCCATGTTTGTATGCACAGCCTAGGCAGAAGTGGAAGAAGTAGGAGGCTGTTCAGTGGACATTATCCCAAGAGCTTTGCATTTGGTTTTAGTTCTTATTTTGCGGTCAAAAACCTCTTTTCAATTTGAATCGGTTCCCTGTGTACTCAGCACCTCCCTTGTTCTCTGCAGGTGTTCTCTTGGATTTGTCAGGGACATCTGTGTCCGTCTGTAAAGGCAGATAGGCATATTGTACATAATCTGATGTAAAAACTTATTTGAACAGCTGCTCTTTCAAAGGGACTGTGTGTATTAATGTCTGTACTTACCTGTCTCACTTTTTGCTGAAGAGAATCGAGTGAAACTTCAAATAATACTTACTTTGTAGTGTCTTTCTCTTCCCAAGTAGAAGTGTTTTAGGAGCCGGAGACAAGCCCTTATCATGCTTTTCTGCCATTGCATGTTTCAAACTGTTAGAAAGTTGTTTTTTTTCTCTTTTCTTTAGTCTTTGAGTTGCTTTTTCTTTGCTAGTGTTGGGAGTAAAATTTGCTCCTCTATTTTGTTACAGAGATCTGGGAACAGGCAGCGATATACTGAAAACAGTTCTGATTAAGACTTTGCAGCCATCCTCCCTGAACACACTTGATGTGGACCTGACGCCCAGCCTCAGCATGGATTGGACTGTCTGTCTGCTTTAGGATTTCTAATCACTGCCGCTTTCTCAGAAATGTGCTGTAACTATTCTGTTGGTAACTGAGAAGGTGCATGTCACTAGAGGATCATGAACAAGTACGCCTTGTTGCAGATCTTTTAGTAGGGAGGCTGTCATCATGGTTAGTGTCCATGGTGGGCAATTATCCAGCAAAGGAGCCCTTCCTGGTGCAGAGCTGGGCACAGGGCCCTGGCCATGGCATGCATCTTTATGGTACAAGCCAGCTGCACTGTTTTTATAAATGTGAAAAAGAAATGTTTGATTTTTTTATATGAAGATGGCACTTAAGCAATGTGATTTTATGGAATTAACTTTCTTGCACGTTTGCATTGTTTTGACAAATGTCAATAAAACAGAGTTCTCAGATAAGCCTGACACATGTCCTAGGGAAAGGGTTTTACCTGTACAGTGGGTGTTAGAGAGAGACATCTTTACTGCTTAATGAAATGTGAACTGGTCAGCTGAGAGAAAAGTGCTAATTTATTAACAGCCATGGAGCTGAAGGTTTTGAAGGCTGCCCTAGCACAGCATTTTAATACAAACACTGTTTCCTGCCTTTAATATTTCTTGTAAAGAGTATCAGCTTGAATGAGTGCCATTCTCATGTGCTAGTGGAACCTGTCTTGGGGAGATGTGCTCGTAGCTGAGCACTTAAATAAGCTAGGCAAAGTAGGCAAAGGCATTGCATGGATGACTGAAGGCAGCAGCTGTATGTGTCTTGTGAAGAGCTATCCAACCTGAGAGTGAGAGGAAGGCAGGGGCATTTAGTGCTCTGGTGTACACAGCTGTTGTGGTGCTAGAGCTTTTCTGAAGGTCTCTTGGCTCCCGGGGAGGCAGGTCATGCAACGCAAGGCGAGTTTATTATATTTAACCGGCTTTTAAAGGAGGGATGTTCAAAGTGACCGCAGTGGAGCTTTGAGATGTCCTAGTGAACCTACTGAGTTACCTTTCGATAGGACCTGGATTGTGGTTGAACTCTGATCTTCATGAGACAGCATTTGAATTAAAAAAAAAAAATCTAAGCAACAGAACTAGGCGATTCAAGACACCTAAAATGGGAAGAGGACGGGATGCTGCTGAGCATGTCTGTCTCAGACTGTCATATCTGACTGCATTTAGCAGAGCTGCGGTAGTGTACATGGGGTGGCACACAGAGCTGCTGTTGCAAGACTGCTTGTCCTGACAGATTTGAAATAGGGTCTGTGTGTTTCAGGCGCTGCTGTGCCAAATTCGTTTCCCTTTGTTTCACTAAGCCTTTGGGCTGGTGCAGTGAATAGCTGCAGAGGTGTTTTTTCATAATGCACTGGCGGGGGGGTGTACGCGTACATAAGCCAGCAATGCTTGCCCTCCCTGCTCAGTGGGCCAGAGTATAGCAAAAAGAAGGACTTTTGCTTAAACCTCAGACAGTGGTGTAAGAGTTTTGAGTTGAATTTGAGACACTGGCAGATTTTGTCAGAAATTCAGGCACATTCTTTACTATTTGATGTGTGAAATCACTCACTTTGTGGGTGTGCGGCCAGACATACTTCTTTTCCTCTATGTCAGGCACCATTTGGAGCAATATAGCTCAAGTTGAATGTGTGCTATAAAAATACGCAGCCTCTTTGCTGCACAGTTGTTTCTGTTAGGAGCTTTTGAAGCAGAGCCTCTACACAGAGGCTACAATGTTGACCGTTTCCTAGCTGCATCCTTCACTGCATGGGAACATTCTCTGATAAATATTGGGTCTCTTCCTTACAAATGGGGATGGGCGTTTTAGAGCTGATGAGGATACCTTCTTGTTTAACATGCTTGAAAGGGAGAAAGCAGCCAAATTGCCCCCCGTCCTCCAGGACTTGGCAGGGGGCTGTGCATTTTGAGTGCGTTTGGCAGAGTTTTGGTGTTCTGACTCAGCAAATGGTAACAAAGGGAGGATGGTGAAGCCTTCCTTTATTCCATAATCCTGTTTGCTTTTCTAGAAACCGGCTATAGCCTCGGAATCACTGACTCAATTTTTGGATCCTATTCTCATGACAAAGCGGCTGTCTGGTTTAAAACAAGCCCATTATAAAAAGGGTGCCTCGGATCCTGGCTGTTTGTAACAGTTTCTGACGTTCCTCCAGCACTGGGGAGCTTGGCTGGAACGGAAAATGTCCAGAGCTGGAACCAAGGTAAGTTTATTTGCAGACTATTCATGATTGTGGCTAGGAGTACAGAATTTATCAGGGGTAAGTTGTGGAGAAACTTTGGTTTCTTTGTTCTGCTGACAGCTTCCCCCTCTGTCAGTCTGTCGTCAAGAGGAGATGCTTGAAATCCCTCCTCAAGTGGAGGGAAGCTGGAGCTGAGCCCTCCCTAGTCTTTTCCCAGATCTTGGCTGTTTCTTCTAGGTGTAGCTCTGCGAGAGGATGGAGTCGAACACAGTGACTGGTGAGGGGATATTGTAAAATGTGCCAGGACCTGATGCCTTGTAAATTGATGGCGGAGGCTGCTGTGCCAGCAGCGAACATGACAAGCTGCATTTGCAGAGCAGAGTCTTGTGGAAGGCTTCCTTGGGAGGCCCGAGTCCCCAGTGCCAGTGGCAGGCGCCAC